GGAATCTGAAGTGAGGGAAGCAGGAAGCTAAATCCTAGTACTCCAAAACTCCTGTCAATCTAAAATAATCAAAAGGTTCAGAATCTAATTTAAAGAGAGTTTATTCAAGCTCAACGAGTGAGGATGGGCCACCCAAAAACAGCAACTCTAAAGGAATGGAGTCAGCATTTTGAAGTAGGGAATTTAAGATTTCATTTATATAGACAGAGACAGATACTTTAGTGGAATTACAACACTATTTACACAAAGTTGGTGTATAGTTACAGCAATTTGATTGGTTATAGGCAGTGTTTCCTTTTGGGAAGGGGACATTTAACACTTTATACAGAGGGTGTAATAGTTATGTTTTTCTTGTCATCTGGTCTAAGCAAAGTGAGGCAGCAAAGGGGAAGTGAATCTATGACCAGGGCCGTTAATGAAGAAGGCAAGAGGCATTTATCTGTGGTACAGTTGAATTCTCTCTAGTCATTGTGCAGAACAAGAAAAATAAGAAAGTGAGTTAATCTATCTGAGAACAGAAGTTGTAAGCATGTGTGACTCAGATCAGGGCTTAATGTGTTTTGGGGGATTCCAATAGCTTTTAATTTTTATTTATCTCCCCGCCCTGAAAGTCCCTGTTGCAGACATCTCTTATTTTGTCTGCTTCTTGGGGTAACCTATTTCTGGTGATTCAGGCAAGATTGTAGTTCCTTATGATTCCTTTCTCCTCAGTGCTCCTCTCGTTCCACCCGCTCCTACCCTCTTGCCTTTCCTTCCCCCTCCCGCTGTCTCCCTCATCCCTCTCTTTCTTCTTCTCTGCACAGGGATGAGTTTATGTCTCAGGCCTTTCTATTCAGTCTGCACCAGGCCATCACCATTGGTTCCAGCATGATGCATGCTGGCCAATCAGAGTTCTTCCCAGGATTACTTCCTTGACAGAGCTATTCCCGAAGACTCTCACTCTCTTCTAGGCTCCTACTCTGGTTGAAGGAGAGTGTTTCTGAGAGCTATCATGCCTGCTGTCTGGAGATGGCTAGTCCAAGCGGGGGAAAAACAGCCACAAGTTGCAAAGACACTGTTTGAGCCCGAGTTCTAGTTGCTTACAGCCACTTTACCCCTGCACTTCTTTGTTTCCAGTTCTGTGATAAATTGAATTCACTATTTCTGCTTAAACTAGTCTGAATTGCATTTCTGTTACTAGGAACTAATAACATTCTGATGGAAAAATCGCTATATGGAAGTGGGGCATAACAAGTGAACACTCCTGAAAGTTAGAATCGACTGAGTTAATTTGGGTGAAGTGTAATGGGAAACACGGTCCTCACTGGGAGTCTGGATGTCTTTACCACTATTTTGTAACAACTCATATTTTTTCCAAATATGAGCAAATATTTTAAACATGAAGAGAAAAAACAGACTTTTAAAAGTATGCAGAAAAGGATAATTAACATTAGATCCCTTGTAAAAATGGAACCCCAGGGAGTCTAAAATGCACCTTTGGCTAACTTTTGCTTTTTAAAATTCCTTGTCTGACTTCCCCTCCCAGTGCACAGGAAATGATAGCTTCTGGGAGATGTGTGGAGTTGCAGGAGTCCCCAGGAACATCAAAGGGTTCAGGGGTTGTATTCTAGCAGTTTCTTTCTTTCTTTCTTTTCTTTTCTTTCTTTCTTTTTTTTTTTTTTTTTTTTTTTGAGATGGAGTTTCATTCTTGTTCCCAAACTGGAGTGCAATGGCATGATCTCGGCTCATTGCATCCTCCACCTCCTGGGTTCAAGCGATTCTCCTGCCTCAGCCTCCCGATTAGCTGGGATTATAGGCATGTGCCACTATGCCTGGCTATTTTTTTGTATTTTTAGTAGAAACGGGATTTTACCATGTTAGCCAGGCTGGTCTCGAACTCCTGACCTCAGATGATCCGCCCGCCTCGGTCTCCCAAAGTGTTGGGATTACAGGTGAGCCACCACACCCGGCTCTAGCAGTTTCTTGATCTTCTCTTTCCTGGTCTCAATTTCATCTCGCACTATCACGAAGGAGTGTGAGTAGCCTTTGGAGACCTGCTTTGGAAAGATGCCATCCAGAGTCTTCACCTTTTGCGCTGCAGTGGAAGACTTGGGCTCATGCTCTCTGTATCCCAATTACCTAAAGTTTGGTTACAGCCCCGAGCTGATGGTGCTCTCATCGGCGGCTAGAATGATGCTGCTCTTCCCACAAGCCAGCCTCCTGATTCTGCAGCCACAGAGGTCCTGCTCTGCTTTCAGGTACTTGGAAGATTCACGGAAGATATTGGGCTCCCCAGAAAAAGAGACTACCAACTTCACAGACAGCAAAGGAGCAGGTGTAACCAACATGGATCTGGGATGCCCCACACCCAAGGAAGTCAAACTCCAAATTTACCAAGCGGAGACCATCTCATCCTTCTGCTCTGAGTGGCCCAGCCCACCATAGCAACCAAAGCCCCAGGAGAAGACTCATTTGTTGGAGTCCAGAATCAATGTGTGGTTAGCATTGCAGACCGCGTCTTGCACAACTGTTACTGGCTAGTGGGTTCTTGACCCTTAGTAAATAGAAATAGACCAAGAATCTGAGATGGACTTGAGCAAGGCAGTTTATTGGAGCTCTCAGCTTGAGCAGAAGGGGAGGTAGCAACAGGAAGAGACCTGCAGCTAGCTCCCTGGCAGCAGGTTAGTTTGGGGTTTCATTTGCTTTGGAGCTCCTCCATGTGACATCATTGCATGTTTGGGGTAGTCTGGCAGTTGTACCTAGGCAGTCTCTGGACATGCTTCTTCATGTGATGCATGTCTCATTAGCATCTTGAATCTCCACCCAGGGCTGTGATTTTTACTACTGAAATGAAGCAAAGGCCAGGTTAGGACAGGCTAGGACATTACTGGGCAAGTGCATTGGGGAGCATCTTTTGCAAAGTGCCCACTGTTAGCCAAGATGCTTGTGCTCAGAGTACTCTGTCTCAGATCTGATTGGTCTATTTTTGTGAAAGGAAACGTTTGTGGTTGCGTGGCGGCAAGGCTGAATGTAGCTTCAGTCAGCACAGCATGTAAGGAAAATGGGGAGGGGTCCCTGCCCTGTTCTGGGGGTCTCAAAACCACCTTTGGTACAGGCAGAATCTGCCCATCTTTCATTCTCAGTGAAGGTGGGCCACTCATCGTGGCACCGGCACCAGCTCGCAGCCTTACACTAATCACTGTGCCTGGGTCCCAGCTGACCATATTGAGGGCACACGAAGGAACAGAGGTCTCCTTTGCCGCCCATTATGCAGAATTCATTTCCACTGGCCATTCTAGTAATTGGCTGCCCGTTGTCCATGATCTGTGCGGGGCTGGGGATGCTCCTGTGTGGGTGCTGAGGCTCAGCTGCCCCATCGTGTTCTCCCCAAACGCAAACGCAGGGCCCGTTTCTGGCAAGGCCAAGGTGAAGTTCCGCCCACAGGCTGCCTACACACTCACTTCCTGGCAGAGACCCTCAGTGAGTCTGGGGGCTTCCATTCTCTTGGTGTCGCAGGTCCCAGCTGCCCCTTCTCATTTTGACCCCAGCTCCGCAGCTTCCATTGTGCGGTGATGAGGATACCGTGCGCAGCACACAAACCCGAGAGTGCTGTCGGCGCCAGGACCCCGCCAGGCACCCACATTTATGGGGCCCCCACAAATTCTGACCGAGACTGCGGTAAGCAGCTTGCTGTTTAGGCACTTCTTTTTCACCCATCGAGTCCCAGTTGGTTGCCCCTGAAATCAAAAGCTGCTGCCTTGCACTTCAGCCCTGGAAGTCTGATGCGCTCCTTGATGTGTTCAGGCTCCGCGACGACCGTGGCCCCGCCGCGCACCTTGTTCACATACGCAGCCCGCCACGCTGTGCCTTTGCCTCCGCCAGGGCCCCATGGAGCTGCCACAGCGCTCGGCCGCTTGAGCTTCCTGCCCGCAGGCTGGGACCTCCGCGCCTCCGGGGCCGCCTGGGGCCCTTTTGGTTACCGAAGCCCGGTTCCTCCCAGGCTACTGCCCAGTCTTCATCCTGGGCTGGTCTCTGCTGGTTGGAGTAATGAGAAACCAGAGAGAAAAAGGAAGAGGAGTAACTGTTAAAAAAAAGACGGATAGGAGGGCTTCCCCCACACCACCGTCCCTTCCTCTCCTCCCCAGCAAACCCCCGCACTCCCCACCAGACCAAGGCTCCAGCCCATTCACCAGATTCACTTAAAGTGTAACTTACATTTTGGAACTTGGACCATGTGTCTGCCAAGGCTCAGGCTTTGGTGCTGGGTTAGAAGATTGTGCTGGGTGCTTCCTGAGGCCTTCAGTGAAGTCCTTCATAAAGGAACCAAGTTTTGGTTCAAGCTTGGAGTGCAGAAGCAAAGAGAAGAGCATGTGGCTTTATTAAGAAAGTGTGATCTGCTTTGAGCTGAATCAGGCAAGCACTTGACGTGCAAAAGGAGAATTTTGCCCCAAGGCAGTTAGTACATCCAGGGAGGGTAGCCTGAGCTCAAGCCGAGATCCTGAAGAATCCTAACAGGGATGTCAGGGGGATAGCTCCTGCCAGAGGAGATATGACGCACCAGAAAAGTCTTTTACCAAAATGGCCCTTGGATGAGAGAGTAAGCCTATTAGTCCTGTTTCTCATGAGTGGGAGGCAGAGACTAGGGTGGAAGAAGCTAAAGTGAGAATTTGGGGATTTCATGTGTAGAGACAGAAACATTAAGATTGCTGTTCGGATTCAGGGAGGATTCTGATTCAAGAAGCAGACATTGAAGTTATCCGCAGAAGCCTGACATTTTGAGAGTTCTGAGAAATACCAAGTCTTGGAAATACGAGTTTGTTCATCTTTGTCAGTCCCTATGACTGTGACCTTGGAATGCACACACCTCAAAGTGTTGAAGGCTGAAGACATGGGATCATTGCCTGTGCCCCTCTAATGGCCTCTCCTGGTGCTGTGTCATTACTGTGGAAGGAATGACAGTGCCCGAGGGAGGCCCTCTTGGAGAACTGGAGAACTGTCAGGGATAAGAAACATTTTTTTCATGTTGTATGGGTAATGTGCTGATGTTATAACAAGGTTTGAGGGCGGCACATCTCACACATGCACATGAACACTTAGTCATCATGCTCATAAACTACAAAATGATCAAGAAACCTTCCTTTTTTTTTTTTTTTTTTTTTTTTGAGATGGAGTTTCACTGTGTTGCCCAGGCTGGAGTGCAGTGGCACAATCTTGGCTCACTGCAAACTCCCAGGTCCAAGTGATTCTCCTGCCTCAGCCTCCCAAGTAACTGGGATTACAGGGATGTGCCACCATGCTCGGCTAATTTTTTTTTTATACTTAGTAGAGACAGGGTTTCATCATGTTGGTCAGGCTGGTCTTGAACTCGTGACCTCACATGATCCACCCACTTCGGCCTCCCAAAGTGCTGGGATTAAAAGCATGAGCCATCGCACCCGGCCAAGAAACAGTCTTACCAAGAAACACTGCAGATCCAGAAACGTTCTGTGTACTGGGGCAGGATGTCTTTGCCGCTCCAGCCCGCTATGTTTCTGTGGACCAGTGAGCATGGTATGCCATGGGTCTCCTCTCCTTTTTCAGGCAGGTTGCATCACTATTGATGGATCTTTCTACATAGCTGATCAGAGGCCATTGATAAGAAAAATTGATTTGGGTTAACAAACATCTCTTTGGGGTTGCAAAAGTCCCCAAAAGATCAAGATTATTGGTTGTCAATACTTGGGCCCAGCATAGCATTGATTTGGCAAGGACATTTTTACAGCTGATGTTAACTGGAGAGACAGGAAATCTTTACTGAGGGGTGGTGTGTTCGTTTGTAAAGCTGCTGTAACTAAGTACCACAAACTGGGTGGCTTAAAGAACAAAACTGTAGTGTTTCACAGTCCTGAAGCCTAGACATCTGAGATCAAGGTGTTGGCAATGTTGATGCCCTCTGAGGGCTGAAGTGAAATCTGTTCCAAGTCTTTTGCCTAGTTTCTTGTAGTTGTTGGCAATCTTTGTCATTTCTTACCTTGTAGAAGCATCACCCTGATCTCTGTTTTCATCTTCACATGACATTCACCCTGTGTGTTGTCTGTGTCCAAATTTCCTTTTTTATGAGGACACAGTCTTATTGGTTTAAGGTTCGCCTTATTCCACCCTACCCCAGTATGATCTCATCTTAATTAATTACATATGCAATGACCCTATTTTATTTATTTTTAAGAGATGAGGTCTTGCTTTGTTATCCAAGCTAGAGTATAGTGGCATGATCATAGCTCACTTCAGCCTCAAACTCCTGGGCTCACACAGTCCTCCTGCCTCAGCCGCCCAAGTAGCTGGGTGCTATGTGTCTGTACAACCAGCCATGTGTGCACAACCATATCCAGCTAATTTTTAAATGTTTGTAGACATAAGGTCTCCCTCTGTTGACCAGGGTGGTCTCGAACTCCTGGCCTCAAGTGATCCTTCCACCTTAGCCTCTCAAATAGCTGAGATTACAGGCATGAGCCACCACACCTGGCCCTATTTTTATTTAAGATCACATTCTGAGGTACTGGGGGCTGGGCTTTAACGTATGAATTTTGAGAGGACACAGTTCAACCCATAACAGATGGGAAGCTTGAGAGGGGTGACAGTGGAGGGAGAAGGAACATGCAGAAGCTTCCATCAGGCTGTTGTTCTTTCCTGAGCTTCCTACTTTCTGTCTGCAGATCTTTTTTCCTCCATCTCTGTTATGACTAAGAGAGGATTCCTCTCCTCCAATTTTTAGAAATACCTTTTCACTGATAAATGATGGGACTCTTTTCCAATGCCTGTCTTTAAAAAATGCTTTGATAGGTGTTGTTTCCATTCTCACCTCTAAACTAATACCCTTAAAGTATTTTGAAGGGCTTTGACAACAGGGACCAGGACTCAAGTTTCTGCTCTTTCATAATGGTACCCCCTTTTTTTCCCTCCCTTCCTTCCTTCCTTCCTTCCTTCCTTCCTTCCTTCCTTCCTTCCTTCCTTCCTTCCTTCCTTTTCTCCTTCCTTCCTTCCTTCCTTCCTTTTCTCCTTCCTTCCTTCCTTCTTTCCTTTTTTTTTGAGACAGAATCTCACTCTGTCACCCAGGCTCGAGTGCAGTGGCACAATCTTGGCTCACTGCAACCTCTGCCCCCCAACCCAAGTGATCCTCTGACATCAGCCTCCTGAGTAGCTGGGACCACAGGTGTGTGCCACCATTCCTGGCTAATTTTTTTTTTTTTTTTGGTAGAGATAGGGTTTCACCATGTTGTTCCAGGCTGGTCTTGAACTCCTGGGCTCACGCCATCCACCTGCCTTGGCCTCTCAAATTGCTGGGATTATAGGCATGAGTCACCATGCCTGGTGGCACCCCCTTTTCTTTCCTCTCTTTCCAATGCTAAATGTACAGCAGGAATTAAATCAAATCAAAGGCCTTTTAATTTAACTGGCTTCAGATTATTCTTCCCCTGCCCCAACCTTAGAAACAGAATGGAGATTCATGTGATGCAACAAATCATTATACTTTATTATTTCTTGTGAACAAAATATTTTCCAGAGGTCACCGTTGTAAGCAATAATATTGGAATCAGTGAAAACAATCAATATAGACCAAATTTTTAAAAATGGTAATTTCTCAGAAATATATGTCTTGAGGTCATTGAACATTATAAGCAACTGATCTTGGGAAAACATAATTTTTGAAGAACTCTCTCATCCTATGACAGTGACCTAATATGAATGAATGAAATACATTTCTGTAGTTGAACTGAAAATAGATATATCTCTATGGCTGAATTCTAATAATCTTATTCACTCTTTAAATTGTACATACAGTAAAATTACCAGAGTTCTTTTGAACTTGCTACTTTCTCAAAATTCATATAAGCTATCCAAGTAACACTGTTAAAGTCTTAAATACAGTAACGTTATAAAGCACCTTATTTCAACATATCTCCCAAAGTTTCCTTTTTAAATCCCTCTTTTAAAATAGCATCTCAGAACTATTTTACAAGGCAGGGTTTTATTTGTATATGTTGGTTGTTTCAAGCCTTTTCACATAGTAGTGGTTCTATAATCAATGTAGGCAAGATCGATGGTAAGATGTGTGAGTATGGATCAGCAGCCATGTTGAGACTCAGGCCCTTTAAGGATGCAAGAGAGATCCAGGTAAGTTTTCATTCTTCAAGTTGGATAAAAACTAAACAAACATACATTGGATGGAAACAAACAACATCATCATGATGGCTTTGTTGACCACTGTGGTATTTAGCTCTATTTTAAGGCTTTTCTATATGTAGCCCTCTCAACTCAAGGTGCAGCAAATCACTTCCTTGTTAATAATGCATGTGTGGATCTTATCTTGGCTGTGTCTGTTTTACAACCAATGGTCCAAAGCCTCAAGGCCACTGCCAGCACACTGCCACATGCACTTTGTTGTTCTGTTAACCCTTAAAGAACTCAGATTGCCAACACTACTACCCAGATTCATGAGCTTCTTGTCATATGTTGCCTTTGATGTTTCTTCCGAAGTCTATTTTTTTTTCTGTCTGGAACGTAGAAGATATTGATCTGAAAAAATTAGTTGATAATTTCCTAAGAGTTATTTCAACAGATTTTAATATTTTTACTTCACTGTGACTCAGTCAAAGTCACTTACACTACACAAACATCAAACACATTTCCATCATTATTTTTTCTCAGGATGGTAAAACCCTTTTCATTTTCACATCCAGGGGACTACCCATCGCACCGTCTTGGCACTCATGGGAGTGAAAAATCTGTTCAGGAACTCCCTGCAGTCAGTATTCATCATGAAACGGGTATTCAGGGTGATCGCGCCACCTGCCAAAACAATTCCCCCACAGAAAAAAGTTCACTCAAAAATTGCACAGCTGTATGTTTCACTAGCATCCTTTGAGAATTTCACTGACACTACCCCGTCTCCTATTCATTCCTTTACTATTTCTTACCTACTCTCCTCTTTTGTTTTCCCTCAAGCCAGCACCTTTTCCTGAAGCTCTGGACAGCCTCCTGAATGTGAGTATGTTGAGGGAAGGTTAGTGGCCACCTTATCAACATTTTACTCAGAACAGAATCCCCAGAGGTGAGTCATGTCTTAGGCATGTCATGTGTGCACACCTCTTCCCTACTCCTTCCCCCTTTCTGTTCCCTCGACGCTGGCTGCCTCCTTCTTCAATCCACTACATGGGCATTTCTCTTCAAAACTCTTATTACCAGTGTCACCCTCTGCTGATGAGCACTTTTTTCTTTTTTCTTTTTTTTTTTTTTACAGATGGAATCTCACTCTGTCACTCAGGTCGGAGTGCAGTGGCATGATCATAGCTCATTGCAACCTCAAACTTCTGGGCTCCCAAGCAAGCCTCCTGCTTCAGCCTCCCAAGTAGCTGGGATTATAGGTATGTGCCACCACGGTTGCCCAAGCTGAACTCCTGGGCTGAAGCAGTCCCCCTGTCTCGGCCTCACAAAGTGCTGGGACTACAGGTATGAGCCACCACACCCAGTCTCATTAGCATTTTTACTTGCCCTTCTCACTAGACCTCCTGCCTGTTGAGAGTTTGAGATCTAGAAAGGTGATAAGTAGCAAAATAAGTTTCCTTGATGATTATGACAATGATGATGGCAGTGAATTTAGCTCTTAGATAACAATGATGAAATGGTCTGTGAAATGTCTGGAATGTGTGTGTTCCTGATTTAGTTTTCTGTAGGTACTATAAATTAAAATGGAAAATATTAAGATTTTCAAATGTTAAAAATCAACTTGATAAAAGCTGAAAAACATCATGGGCCAGTATCTCTAAATGATACAGTATTTGTGATTAATGGGGTCTAATCCTTGTTTCACCTTGCTGATTTTTCTAGTTATTTCCTGCTAAGAGTTATTTTTTTCCCCTAAGTTGCTATAATGACTTTTAAATATGTCAAATGTCAAGATGAATAATGTCACCAACTGTCTGTAAAACAATTAGTACATTGATGGATTATACTGTTTTTGTTTGTTTGTTTTTTGTATTTTTTTTTGAGACAGGGCGTCACTCTGTCTACCAGGATGGAGTGTAGTCATAGCTCACTCAAAGTCTTGGGTTCAAGTGATCCTCCCACCTCAGCCTCCTGAGTAGCTAGTACTACTGGTGCTTGCCACCACGATGGCTTATTTTTAAATTTTTTGTGGAGATGGGGTCTTGCTATGTTGTCTAGGCTGGTGTTGAACTCTGAGCCTCAAGTGATTCTCCTATCTTAGCCTCCCAGAGTGCTGGAATTACAGGTATGAGACACTGCACCTGGCTTCTCTTCTAAACTTAATGATATAATATCAATTCAATAGAAATCGTTTATCTTCAAGAGCTATTAATTAACCTATAACTGTTAGTTCTGGGAAAGTGTTATTTATGTGTTTATGTTTACTCTTTTGTTCTTGAGGCTGGGTGGTGGTGCCTTTTGATGTCAAACAATTTTCCCCCTGAAAAATTTCCATTAGGAAGCTGTTTTATTAATTCAGAAATTCAATATTAATCCAGCCAGTGTACTTTCTGGCCCATGAAAAACAGTGGGATCAATAAAGTAAGTGTCCAAACTATCTGAATCATCTTAGCATTTTCTGAATGCTCACTTAAAGATTCAAGACGAAGATGACTATTCAGGTGATTTGAAGAACTGAAAGATTAATAGAAAATGATTAAGAAGAAAAAAATGCATGTGTGTGTATATGAGTATATATGTGTATATGTGTGTGTATATCTATACACACATATATAGAAACTATTCTTTTTTTTCTTTTTGAGATGGCGTTTGCTCTTGTTGCCCAGGCTGGAGTGCAATGGCATGATCTCAGCTCACTGCAACCCCTGCCTCCTGAGTTCAAGCGATTCTCCTGCCTCAGCCTCCTGAGTAGCTGGGATTACAGGCATGTGCCCCCCACACCCAGCTAATTTTTGTATTTTTAGCAGAGACGGAGTTTCTCCGTGTTGGCCAGGGTGGTCTCTTAACTCCCAACCTCAGGCAATCCGCCCACCTCGGCCTCCCAAAGAGTTGGGATTACAGGCGTGAGCCACCACACCTGGCCCAAACTATTTTTTTTAAAGGGCCTGTAATATTCAGAGAATAAAGAGCTACTTCAGTTGGTTGGCCGAACTTGACATTTTGAAGGAGTATACCGAGTTTTGCTTGTGGGAAGTCAGCTAATAGGTAGAGCTAGAAACTAAAATCTTATCGGCAAGAAAGTATTTATCTGAAAGTCTAAGTTCTTGTTTTTCAATCTGGTGTTCTTTCTGCAACATTATCATGCCTCTCAGAATTTTTTTTTTTTTTTTATAATTTTGCCCTAATTGGTGCATCACTTTGATTTTTAGGAATAAATAAATAAGTTGTTTCAACATTTGTGCTGCTGTTGTTTTAGCATATGTACATGATAAATTAATTCTCCTCAGGCTCCTTAGTCTGCGTGCCTTCACCTAAGTCACGGAATGTCACAGATGCCAGGACTTTCCTTTTCAGTGAGAGTGTAGGGTTGTGGAAGGCCTGTAGTGGATGTATTTCCCTCAGGCACGTTAACATTCGGAATATGCGGCCCACCATGCTTTGCCCTGGTGCTATGGACATAGGTCAGGGTTCATATAAGCCTTGTTGCTTGACACATGACCATTCAATACCACTGGCCAGTACCCATTAATGATCCCCAGAACTTACATGAGCAATGGCACAAAGCGGACATTTTTATTCAAGGCTTCAATGTCCTTCATTTCTTCTTCAGTGAGAGAAAAGTCAAAGATCTGAAATAACAGAAATAATAGAATATTTTTGAAGGTCAAGCTTGGGATCAGAAAGTGGGACCATCAGTGAGAGCCTCTGAAAGATGTATGAATATCTTTGCAAATGTCTAAGAGGAGTCAGGCTGGTGTTGGGGAGCTACCCACTGAGGTGGAGCTGGATACTCTGATCTGCCCTTTGTTTTAGAGACAGTCTTTCTGGGGACATCTTACAAGAAATTCCAAATGCTCTGAAACCACAAATGTTAATGAAATCCCATAAAATTTCAAATGTGAAGAACTCTTATTTCTGTATGAAATGCTGGGCTTTTGATTCTGAACTACTGTCTTACACTTAAAAAATTCTGAGTCTCTAAATATGCTGTTTTTTCTTTTTTTTTTTTTTTTTAAGACAGGGTCTCACTCTGTCACCCAGGCTGGAGTGCTGTGGCACCATCTTGGCTCACTGCAACCTCCGCCTCCTGGGTTCAAGCTATTCTCATGCCTCAGTTTCCCAAGTAGCTGGGACTACAGACACGCCTGGCTAATTTTTGCATTTTTTGTAGAGATGGGGTTTCACCATGCTGCCCAGGCTGGTCTCAAATGCCTGAATTCAAGCAATCCTCCCACCTTGGCCTCCCAAAGCGCTGCAATTACAGGCATGAGCCTCACTGCACCCGGCCTAAATTTGCTTTTTAAAAAAAACTTTTAATTTGCTTTGTTTTTAACTTTTAATTCGCTATGTTGAAATCCTTTCTCTCAACATCTTTGATGTCTCTTCTGCCTTTTTATTCTAATTATATTTTCATTGTTTTAGTTTTCTTAGCTTTTACACTTTATTTGTATTCTGGTTTTATAATTGTCCCTTATTAACATTTATATATTTTATTTTCACTTCCTTTTATTTTTAACATTTGGGTTATCTGTATATAACCTATCTTCTCTTTATTATTTTATCTTTCTATTCTTTAACTTTTATTTTAATATATTTAATGATTAATAGATTTTAATTATATAAGTAGTACATAAATATATGCTCTTTGCAAAGAAATGAAACACTGTAGAAGTACATAGACCTATACGGAATAAATAATGAGAATCTTGTCACTCATCACCCCATTCTTATTTCCCTTCCCAAATATTCCTCCCAAATACTACACACATTAAGAGGAAAATGCAGTAATTAGACCATACCTTTATGATTCTGCAACTTACCTTTATTCACATAATATCTTAGTGACCCCAGTGATAGTTCTATCACAATATGTAACCTGACTTTATTCTTTTAGCCACGGTATTCATTGTGTAGATGGAACATGATTTACTTAATTTTCGCTCCATGGATTCTTTCCAAGTACTCTTTTCAGGGAACCATTTTCTTTTATGATTTATTATCCAATTATTGGTGTTTATGAGATTATGTAAGGAATCAAAAATTCGCACAATATAAAAATGAATGAATCGCCTATAAAATGAATCCTTACCCAGACTTCTTTTTTGCTAAACACTAGTCCTGTCCTTTAAGTCTTCGTGGGCCAGCCTCTTATCCAGTAAATATATGGCATAACCTAATGGCAAAGTGAGGTTGCAAATCTTGCAAAGATGCGGGATTTTATGAAATCAAAGAAAGTGATCTTGGAGATTTGTTCTAATTATAGGTATGATGTTTTTCAAAGAAGAATCCTGCACAGTTAAAAATCTCCTTTGACAGATATGTCAAAAGAGTGTGACTTGAAAAAAAATTAGAGTTACAAATTCTCCTTCAGATAAAGCCCTCCAAAATTTTTGTGAGAATTATTCTCTTTGTGAACATTCTGCAAAACTTCTGTGAAATAGAGGATGTCATGTTGTGTTATGTAATTTTGTTAAGCATATTTTGAAAAGATCAACACTGATTCACTGTTTCTTCTGAGTTAATAAACATGCAATTGTAACCTACATTGTGTTGAGAATAAAAGTAAACTTACTTTCATAAACTTTGGTTTCGATCTTAATAGAAGCTTTCAAATTCACCCTCTCTACATTATTTCTATGTCATGTTTTTTTCTTGTTGTATGTGGATTGATTTTCAGTGGTGGTCTTTTTTTTTTCTCCCATGGCACAAATTAGGAATCCTAAGTGAATGAGGATCTCATATTACAAAACTGAGCTCCTCATAGTTCCTCTCAAACTGCTTCTCCCACAGTTTTCCATTTCAGTAAATGTTTGAAGAAGGAGAGATTGTTAACTGTATCAGATGTGGCTGAAAGACCAAGTGGGACAAGGACTGAGAATTACTGGATCTAACAATGTGAGGTCACCGGTAACTTTGACAAGGGCTGTTCCAGTGGGATGGTCAGGGTAAATGTTTGGTTTGAATGGATTCAGGAGATAGTGGGGGAAGGGAATGAGAAGCAGTGAGAACAACTTCTCTTTCAAGATGTTTGAAACAGAAAGAGAGAAGTGGATAATACTTGGAGAGGAAAGTGAGTCTAGATTGGATTTTATTTTTTAAGATAGGAGGTTACTACCTATGCGAATGTTGGTGGGAGTTACACAGTAGAGAGGAACAATTGCTAGTGTAGGAAAGAGAGGGGGATGTTTGAAATTGAGCCTATGGAGGATTTATTAGGAAGTTGTCATTGTAATTTCCAAGGGATAACCATGGGAATTAGTGACTGAAATATATAGGACAAGATTCTTATGGGAGAGGAAGTCACAGAGCTGTCAGGTAAGGGCAGAGAACGACTGGTGTGGATGTTGAATTCACTAAGAATTATGAGAGGGAGAGTGTTGGAGAAAGTGAAAGTGAGCCCAGAGATAACATCGTCAAAGAATGGAGTCCAATGGATGATGGCAACAAAGCTGGACCACACCTGGTATAATTTCATATTTTTCTTTAAATTTTAACTTTTAAAATATCCTGGCTCCATATTAGTTTTCTTCATTTTTACCTTTAATTTTATCTAGTTTTTAAAGTCATGGTTTTTTGTTTGTTTGTTTTGAGACAAAGTTTCGCTCTTGTCATCCAGGCTGGAGTGCTATGGTGTGATCTCAGCTCACTGCAACCTCCGCCTGCCTCGTTCAAGTGATTCTCCTGCCTCAGCCTCCTGAGTAGCTGGGGTTACAGGTGCCCACAACCACACCCGGCTAATTTTTGTATTTTTAGTAGAGATGGGGTTTTGCCATGTTGGCCAGGCTGGTCTCAAACTCCAGACCTCAGGTGATCCACCTGCCTCAGCCTCCCAAAGTGCTGGGATTACAGGAATGAGCCACCATGCCCAGCCTAAACTGATGGTTTAACTTAACTTTTTTTATTTTAAAGCAATGGGATCTCACTTTGTTGCCCAAGCTGCTCTCAAACTCCTGGCCTCAAGCAATTTTCCTGCCTCGGCCTCCCAAAGTGCTGGGATTACAGGTGTGAACCACTGTGCCCAGTCTTAACTTTTTATTACATAATTTTTATTGTCTTTTGCTTTTCTTTTATCATCAAAATATTTATTTTTCCCTTTATTCTTTATGTTTTATTGATCTTTGCCATTCTTTTAAAATATTCTAACAGTTTATTTTACCTCCATTCTAAGAGAGCGTAATTTTTTATTTTGTTGCTTCTTGCTTTCATACCCAGCAAAATTCATGGTTATTGGGTGAGTCTGTTCCCTAAAGAGTGAGAATTGGCTGTGATTTTCATTCTTATCTTCCTTCTAAATCTGTATCCCTTTTATATTTTCTTGGAATATGTGACCTCTGAGTTCCATTCTTTTATTATCAAGGCTATGGAAACATATGGAATATAACATAATTAGTTACTATGAAAATTTCAAGGAGAGTGGCATTTTCTCTGGTACAAAATTGCGATTTGCTAGATGCCATAAAGTCCAAATGCCTTCCATTGCAAAGGTCACTTGTAACACTCTCATATAATTTTTGAACAGCAAAATTTTCAGTCCTCGAAAAGCCCATCAAAATGTGTTTTAATCTTCAGTGAACCAAAACATTAGTCATGCAGTTGATCTCTTTCTAAGACTGTGGAAAAGAGTGTCAACCACTTTTTAGCATGAGGCATTTTGGCAAATGTTAAAGTACTGTCAGGAGGTGATGTAACTATTTAGCATCTTTTCTCCTTTTTTCTTTTTATGAACTTTCCTTCCCCTTTCTAGTGGAGCTGTTAAGTTCTTCAGCACAGGAATAGGCATATAGCCCTGGGGGCAAAACAGGGTATCCTACTCTGTGGCCACAGTGGGTAATATGAGGGTGACCTACAAGAGCTAATCAGGGATTGATAGAGACCCTGATAGAAGCCTTTGTTTCTGATCATCTTCACTCTTCACCGAGTATGAGTAATTGATTATCCTGGAGCTGTTAGGAATTGTCTGTGTCACCATGTGGGTGGAGAGAAAGGAGAGACAGAGGGAGAGAGAGAGAGAGAGAACGAAATCTTTTTATAAATCATTTGAGTACCTGTGTCTAGCCATTTCTGATCTACTCATGGACTTTCCGGTTATGCGAGCCAATAAATTATCTTTTTTTTCTTTGCTAAAGTTTGAGTTGCATTCTATCATGTAGCAAAAAAGCTCTGAAGATGTAATTGTCTAATATTGTGGATATCTTCCTATGTCAGTACTTTTTTTTTAAATGGCTATATGATATTTCAATGTACAATTTGTTTTATAAAATCCTGTTGAAGATTGTTTTGAGTTTTTAAAATATTACAAATAATTCTATAATAAACGTCTGTCTGTGTGTGTGTGTGCATCCATGTATATATGTGCAAATACATCTATAGGATAAGACTGCTGAGTCAATGGATATGTGTATTTGGATTTATTTAATTTGACAGATAACATTGTATGTTTTTATCATACGCAACATGATGTTTCTACATACATATAAATTGTGGAGTGGCTAAATCTAGCTAATTAACAAATGCATTACCTCATATAGTTATCACTTTTGTGGTAAGAGCACATAAGATGTACTCCCTTTATGTTTTTCAAGAATACACTATATCATCATCAACTATAGACACCTTTTTGTACAATAGATCTCTTGACACTTATACCTTCTCACTGTAATTATGCATTTTTTGACCAACATCTTCATAGCACCCTCCCTTCAATAACCTCAGCCTCCGGTAACCACTGTTCTACTCCCTACTTTTATGTGATTAACTTTTTTAGATTCCATGTATAAATAAATCATGTAACGTGTGCATTTGAATTTTGATGAACATGAAATAATTTAACCTACTCTTCCATATCTCATACAAATCAATGTTTCTAACAATAGTATGTGAAAGCGCCTGTTTCCCCAAATATTACCAAGTATTTTTATTATTTTCTGATATGAAGGGACAACTAGTATCCTATTTTTTATTTATCTTTAATTATGAGTAGGGCTAAACAGGCAATTTACTTTTGAAATGTAAATTAACTAATGGGTAATTAATTAATTTTATATGGCACTTTTCTATGGTTGTATTTACCTAGCAGTTTAGTCTTTAGTAGTAGCGGAATCAATGAATTACCCCATTTGTCTAGTTCTTTCTTCACCTGGAAGTTACAATGTAAGTCATAGATTACTTATTGAGGGAAGTAAAGGCAATTAGCATTCAAGAGTCTAAAAGGTCCTCGTCAGTAATTTTCGAATTTGTCCTCAACTTTTACCAGAGCCATTAAGAAGGTGGAAAGTTGACTATTATGAATTCCAAATTGTATTCACTCAATTTCTGTTGTGCTGGTAGAGAAGTGAGTAGGTAGTGTCAAGAGTCAATAGATAAGAGGCTGGGTACAGTGGCTCACGCCTGTAATCCCAGAACTTTGAGAGGTCAAAGTGGAAGGATCGCTTGAAGACAGGAGTTCCAGTCTAGCCTGGGCAACATAGCAATACCCTGTCTCTAAAAAAAAAAAAAAATTTTTTTTTTTTTTTTTTTAAGAAACAGAAAGTAGATAAGGAAAGAGAAAATAGAAGGAATCTGGATAGTGAACAAGTAGCAAAACAATCTCTGAAGTACTGACAATTGTCTCAAATTCAGTGAAAATTAAACCTAGATATGGGCTACACGGGTCAAGGAACTGGTATAAAATAAAATATGAGAGTGTTACAAGTTTCCTATTAAGCTGAACACATTCTATAAAAGCAAAAACAGCAAACATACCCATCTTTTCACATTTCCAAAAGCAATTCTCTTACCTGAAAATTTTCTTTGATCCTTTCAAGATTGAAGCTTTTAGGAATGACAACCACCCCTCGCTGGATGTTGAAACGCAAAACAATTTGAGCTGCTGTCTTATTGTACCTTTTCCCCAATGAGTTTAGAAGCACATCCTTTAACAAAGGTGGAGAAGAAACATTCACCCTTAAAAATATCAAAACATGCATCATAATTAGTTTGTGTAATCAGAACCAAAGGTTAATAAACCATCTTCTTCCTCTGTCTTCCCATTCACCCAGTCACCTACCAGGACACTGCAGGTCACCTGTAACCAGTTTCTCTGAGTGCAGAGTATGCATTGAAGGGAGAGGTACTCTTAGTATGGGAAGATCAAGCAAGGCAAGTTTATGGAGCTGCCTCCTTCAGAGGGTAAATAATATTTTTTGATGAGTCTTACAGAGAGAGCCGGCATATAGGGAAAGGCAGGAAGACTGAAGTGGAAGAAATAGAGATGCAACTTTTGCAATCACCTTAAAGTAGAAAAATTTCTACTTACATTTATGGAACACATCATAGTAAAAGTATCAGTATTGAATATAGGATCAAAAAATTCAAAATTTGCAAAACATGGCCATAGAAACTCCTTTGTCAAATAATAATTAAAGTAACATTTACTGAGCATTCCTATATATTGGGCACTGATAGGCAATTTCATATCTATAATGTAATCAATTTCACAACAGCTCAGTGAGGAAAGTATGAAAAGTTCTAATTCAAATATACAGATAATGACTTGAAGAGGTTGCACAGGCAAACCAAAAGGCATTCCAATCAATTACAGTAGTTCACATGAGCCTCACACTCTACACCAAAGGAAATACTTCCTAAAGTTTTACTTACCAGATTGGATTCCTACTGGTCCCCAAAGGGCTATACGCAATAATGACGATGTCATGTTGTTGGCAAAATTTCAAGAGTTTTGGCTGCGTGAAATACGGATGGCACTCAACCTATGTGGTTGCATTGGAGAGCAGAGTACAAAATCAAGGCCACGTTGTTGAAAGCAATTTTATAGTTAAAAAAAATTCTTTAATAGAATCCATTTTATTAATAGAATCTCCTTCATGCTGTGTACATTTTGTGTTCTAGTCTGTCCCTTCGTATCTTGTTCATTTTGCTTCCTTAAAATGGATTTGAGAACATCTTTTGTTAAGATTTCACATAATATGAATGTCTTGTGACTTACTTAATCATTCCCTTAATTTTTTTTGTTTCCCCTTTTTTCTATTACAAACAATGTTGTAGTAAACACACATCAGTCTATCTAGGCATTCTGATATTTTTTATTAGGGTAGATTACTAGAAATAGAAGACTGAACATTTTTTAAGGGCATTGATACATAGTGACAAATTGTTTTTTTAGTAAAGCTAAATCAATTTGCACTTACTAGCATTTAATCACTTGCCTACATTGGGGCATTATATTTAAAAATATTAATAAGACAAAAACTGCTAATTTGATGTGCAATAGAAAAATCACACTATAATTTAAGTTTCTCTAATTAATAGTTTAACATTTTTCATGTTTACCAGTCTTGCAATTTGTCTTTTGTGAATTTCTGTTCACTTCTTTTAGTCCTTTTTCTGTTGAACCTTACTGTTTTTTCTCATTGTTTTTGTCATTGATTTTTATTAGATTCTTTTTTTTTTTTTTTTTTTTTGTTAGACGGAGTCTCACTCCGTCGCCCAGGCTGGAGTACAGTGGTGTGATCTCAGCTCGCTACAACCTCCGCCTCCCTGGTTCAAGCAATTCTCCTGCCTCAGCCTCTGAGTAGCTAGGATTACAGGCATGTGCCACCATGCCTAGCTAATTTTTGTATTTTTAGTAGAGACGGGGTTTCACCATGTTGGTCAGGCTGGTCTTGAACTCCCGATTTCCTGATCGCTCGTCTTGGCCTCCGAAAGTGCTGAGATTACAGGTGTGAGCCACTGCACCCAGCCCCAAGTCCGTTTTTTTAAGTGATACCAATAGAAAGAAGTCTAAAGACTTGCATAGGGTCCCATGATGAGACTCAGGTGGAGCAATCATGAGCCTCCCCATTCCCAGCTGAGGCTTTTTCCTGTCATGTAAATCCTGCCCCCATTCCCCACACCCCAGTGGAAGCTATTAGGCTGTACCTGGTTGCTGACTGGCTTGTATTTGAGTCCCGGCTTGTTCAGGATGAGCTCCAGCTGCCTGCGGTTAAAATTGGACACTCCCAGAGATTTCACCAAGCCAGCATCTTTGCAAGCTTCCATAGCCTGTAGAGTGAATGTCAAGAGGTCAATAAACAAGCCTCACAAGAAGCAAGAATGAATGTTTATAAGGGTGACTGTGAATTCTTTAAAAAGGAAAGTTCCTGGGTATGTTAATAAGCATCCTGCGAAGAAAAATAAAAGAAGGATGGTGGGAAAAGGCAGGAATTCTATGATCGAGTTTGGAAAATATGTGTATGCCATATTTTCCCCTTGTATTTTCTCAAGGTATTTAGCACACTTCAGTGATCCCAGGTAGGGTGTGATGGCTCACACTTGTCATCCCAGCACTTTGGGAGGCTGAGACAGGAGGATCACTCGAGGTCAGGAGTTCAAGACCAGCTTGGTCAACAGAGTGAGACTTTATCTCTAATAAAAATCAAGAATTAACTAGGCATGGTGGTGCATGCCTGTAGTCCCAGTTACTTAGGAGGCTGAAGTGGAAGGATCCACTTGAGCTGGGGAAATTGAGGCTGCAGTGAGTTATAACTGTGTCACTGCACTCCAACCTGAGCAACAGAGTGATACCCTGTCTCAATTAAAAACATTTTTAAAAAATGATCCTACTTCTTGAAATTTTTGGATACTGTCTTTATGGCATAATACCTGGGCTCCCTCTTTTTTTTTTTTTTTTTTTTTTGAGATGGAGTTTCGCTTTTGTTGCCCAGGCTAGAGTGCAATGGCGTGATCTCGGCTCACTGCAACCTCCACCTCCCGGGTTCAAGCCTCCTGAGTAGCTGGGATTACAGGCATGCACCACCATGCCCGGCTAATTTTGTATTTTTAGTAGAGATGGGGTTTCACTGCGTTGGTCCGGCTAGTCTCGAACTCCTGACCTCAGGTGATCCACCCGCCTCAGTCTCCCAAAGTGCTGGGATTATAGGCGTAAGCCACTGCGCCTGGCTGGCAATTTTCATAAACATTCTGGTATATGTGAAATAGATATATTCTCCCATTTTTGGATGTAACACTCTCTGTCTCTCCTCTCTCTCTCATACATATATGTATGCAAATATACATACACACAGGTTATATATAAAATTAGGTCTAGCTCTTCTTGGCTTCTCAGTAGCTGAAATTAATATGTCAAAATTAACAGAAGGAATATGTCAAAAACTGAAAGGAATATGTCAAAAATCTCTTACTATACTGGTGATATATTAATGTTCTTCTGTATTTTTTTTTTTTTTTTTTTGAAATAGTATCTTGCTCTGTCACCCAGGCTGGAGTGCTGTGGTGGGATCTTTGCTCACTGCAGCCTTGACTTCTGGGCTCAAGAGATCCTACCTTCTTAGCCCCTTGAGTAGCTGGACTACAAGCATGTGCAACCACACTGGTTAAATTTTGTTTTTAAAATATTTTTTGGAGATGAGGGGCTCTCACTACATTGCCCAGGTTGATTTCAAACTCCTGGCCTCAAGCGATCCTCCTTGGCCTCCCAAAGTGCTGGGATTTCAGGCATGAGCCAATGTCCTTCTGTATTCTGTCAATTTTTTGTTTTATATATTTTGAAGATACTTTATTTGGTATATATGTGCTTAAATTAGTATATCTTTTTGGTAAATTCAATCTTTCATCTTTATGTACAACTCTTTTTATCCCTAATAATGCTTTTAATTTTTAAGTCTGTGTTATATGATATTAATATAGTAATACCAACTTTTTCTGGTATTTGACTGGTGTGTGTGTGTGTGTGTGTGTGTGTGTGTTTACTGTAAAGTTTTAACTTTCACATGTCTTTTTGCTTAGGTGCCTCCTTTTAAATTGTCAATCTCTGTCTAGGTGAGTTTATTTTATCTACATTTATTGCAACCATACATATATTTGAACTGTTTCTACCATCTTGATTTCAATTTATCCCACTTATTCTGTTTCTTCTTAACTCTTTATTACTTTTAAGAAGTTTTCTAATAAAGACAATAACTTAGCATGTTTACACAGAATTTATGTCTACCCTCAACATCTGTGATGCTAATAGTATAATATAAACTTTAATTGTAGCATCTTATGGGTTCATTTTCCTCTTGTTATTTGATCTTAAATATGTTCATAGATAATACATACTTTAAGTTTAATTTGATCACTTTTGCTTTATGCATTTTTTTGGAGCATCTGTTAGATTTTTATTCCTTTTACTTAGTACATCAATCAGACTTAATGATTTCCAGTGTGGGTCTTTATGTGGCAAAATTTCTGAGCATGTGTAGATGTGGAACTTTTTATCCTGCATCATTTTGCCTTATAGTTTGGTGGGTTATAACTGATGTATAATAAACTACACATTTTGAAGTGTACATTTTGAGGATTTTAATGTATGCATACACCAGTAAAATTATCATCAGAATCAAGATCATGAACACCTCCAGTGGAATACTGATAAATGTTTTAACAACCAGCTATCCAGGAAGAAAAACGCTCCCCAGTTTGTAGTATTTGTCAATGTCTGTGATGTGACTATTCACACCAGGTTATTCAAGCTAACAATCCAACATCACTGAATGTAGAGTTAGGAAGAGGTTTGCGCAACAGGTTCTTGCAAGCTGGTATGGGCCACTTTTAGTACAAGATTACCCTCCCCCATTGAATTGCCTTGGCATTTCTGTTGAAAATCAGATTCTCATGCCTCAGCCTTCCAAGTAGCTTGGATTATAGATGGGCACCACCACGTCCAGCTAATTTTTGTGTTTTTAGTAGAGATAGGGTTTTGCCATGTTGCCCAGGCCATGTTGACCATATATGTGTATGAGTCTATTTTAACATTCTCTATTAGGTTTTATTGACCTATATGTTCCTCTTTATGCTAATATGGCACTGTCATGATTGCAGTAGTTGTATAATAATTCTTGAAATTAGTATAAGCCCTCCAAACTTATTGCCTTTTGTTTGTGAGATGGAGTCTTGCTCTGTCACTGAGGCTGGATTGCAGTGGTATAGCTCACTGGAGCCTCAACCTACCAGGTCAAGTGATCCTCCGACCTTAGCCTCCTGAGTAGCTGGGACCGCAAGCACATGCCACCCCCATGCCTGGCTAATTGTTTTATGCTTTTGTAGAGATGGGGTCTCACTGTTACCCATACTGGTCTTGAACTTGTAGGCTCAAGTGATCCTCCCTGCTCAGCCTCTCAAAGTGCTGGGATTACAGGTATGAGCCACTGTGCTTGGCTATTGCTCTTTTTCAAAAAGTTGTTGTGGTTATTATAGGTTATTTGTACTTCCATATAAATTTTATTTTATTTATTTTTTTGGGACAGACTCTCACTCTGTCACCCAGGCTGGAGTGCAGTGGTGGGATCTCGGCTCACTGCAACCTCCGCCTCTCAGGTTGAAACGATTCTCATGCCTCAGCCTTCCAAGTAGCTGGGATTATAGATGGGCACCACTATGCCCAGCTAATTTTTGTGTTTTTAGTAGAGACAGGGTTTTGCCATGTTGCCCAGGCTGGTCTCAAACTCCTGGCCTCATGTGATCCACCTGCCTTGGCCTCCCAAAGTGCTGAGATATACAGGCGTAAGCCACTGCTCTGGGCCCCATATAAATTTTAGAAGTCGGTTTTCTATTTCTATTGAGATTTTGACTGGGATTACATTGAATCTACAGATGAATTTGGGGTGAATTAACATCTTAATATTCTGATCAAGGAACATGGTAAATCTCCATTGAATTTTGGATCATCTTTGATTTCTTTCAGTTATAAGTTGTTGTTTTTTCTGTTTAGCTCTTGCACAGATTTTTAAAGATTTATCTCTAAATATTTAATGTTTAGTATTGTTTTTAAAAATAATTTCCAATCGTGTGTTGCTAATATATAAATTACATCTAGATAAAGATTTTAATATTTTTAGGTCTTATGGATTATTTACATGTGTGCCTCCTGTTTGATCAGACAGCATACCTTACATAATTAAAATACTTGGAAGAATTACTGAGATTTATGTTATGTCTCAAAAAATGGCCTACGTTGCTGGGCGCGGTGGCTCACATGTGTAATCTCAGTACTTTGAAAGGCCAAGACGCGTGGATCATGAGGTCAGGAGTTCGAGACCAGCCTGACCAACATGGTGAAACCCCGTCTCTACTAAAAATACAAAAATTAGCTGGGCATGGTAGCGCAAGCCTGTAATCCCAGTTACTCAGGGGGCTGAGGCAGGAGAATTGTTTGAACCCAAGAGGCAGAGGTTGCAGTGAGCCGAGATCGGGCCACTGCACTCTAGCGTGGGCAACATTGTGAAACTCGTCTAGAAAAAAAAAGAAAAATAACACTCTGTTATATTTTGGTGAAGTGTTCTATAAATGTCAACCAGGTTAAGAAGGTTGATAATGTTGAAATCTCCTATATCCTACAGCTCTTTCTGTATACTTTTCATTTTAGTATGATACCATTTTAATAGAATCTCTGACTATAAATGTGAATTATTCTCTTTCTCAGAAAGATATTCCTCATCTTTCCTCTTTTGTACTCCATGATCCCTTTAAGATCTTTTTTTTTTTTTTTTTCCTGTAACTATTACTCCCGACTTTTATTTTTTTCTTTTTTGTAGAGATTGTGTCTCACTATGTTTCCCAGGTTGGTCTTGAACTCCTGGGCTCAAGTGATCCTCCAGCCTTGGCCTCCCAAAGCATTGGGATTACAGACATGAGCCACTATGCCCGCCTTCTTGTTTCCTTTTATTTTTTCTTCTTTCTTTTTTCTTAGACTCCAACTGTGTGGATATTGGAATTTCTAATTTTATTCTTTGAATTTCTTAGCTTTTCTTTCATATTTAAAAAAATTCTTGTCCTTTTCTTCTTCATATTGAGAGATTTCCTCATTCTGACATCTCAATTTGACCATTTTCTTCTATTTATCCCAACCTATTGCACTGTTTTTATTTTTTAATTATTATTTTCGCTTGTTTTTTAAAATGTTGTTTGTTCACATTTCATATTGCTAATGTCTTTTCTTATGCTCTCTAATATATTAATTGGTTAATTTAAAGGTTCCTGGTTCTCTGTTCTGTTTATGTTGGGATCAGTAATTGAGATGTATTGTCTTCTTGTGAAACAAATGCCTTGTTACTTTGGGCTGTGAAATCATTTTTTCATGATCCTGGCTGTCCTGTTAGGTAGTCCCTTAGAAGAGAATGTTCAAAATGTCCAACTATCCAAACCTGATTCGCTCCCATGAGGTCAGGAGTGACTGTGTGTTCTTTCGGATGGAGCCCCAGGCACTGGGAAATAAATCATTCCTCCTCATCCCTCTAAACAACTCCACAGCTCAGACCTTCAGCTGTTGCCTCAGAGGCAAGTATATAGAAAGAGGTACTTACCAGAGTGTAATTTCCAAGCTTTTGGAGTTTAGAATTGTATCGGTGGGAAAAAAATTGCCAGAGGTGAGTGGGTAACTTACGTTTTTCTTCAATTTTCACAAGTTCAGAATTTCAAGGTCGCTCTACTGTGATTCCTGAAAACACCTGATTGAGCCCTGAGTTTCCAACTGTGTGGAAATATTTGTTCCCAGGCTATGGCAGGGGTGAAGGAAGTGCGAAAGGACCAACCCTTCCTCTCCTGTACTATCTTCTTCCTGCTTATTGGGTCGACTTCTACTCTAGGTCAGAGCTGCCACACCACCTCTAAGCAAACAAGTTCAAAATATCCCTCCCCGCCATGAATCCGTAAGGGTTTATATATTATTTTCCTATAGTTGTCTACTCTTGTGATCTTGGGAAAAGAGCCAGCAGCTTGCTCAGAAATAAAAAACACAATTGCTTTTCAGGTTTTTTTTGAGACAGCATCTTGTCTGTCGCCCAGGCTGGAGTGCAGTGGCATGATCTCGGCTCACTGCAACCTCTGCCTCCCAGGTTCAAGCAATTCTCCTGCCTCAGCCTCCTATGTAGCCGGGATTATAGGCACCCATCACCACGCCTGGCTAATTTTTGCATTTTTGTTAGACACAGAGTTTCACCATGTTGGCCAGGCTGGTTTCGAACTCCTGACCGCAGATGATTCGCCTACCTTGGCCTTCCAAAGTGCTGGAATTACAAGCATAAGCCACTGCGACTGGCGTGTTTTTCAGTTTTTTATGTATTATTTTAAGTTTGTTTATTTTAGGCATCATATTAACAACTTAAGATTTATATTTTTATTTCGTGAATTTATCTTATTCACATATTCTAATTACTTTTATATTAGAACATATTTTGTTTACATTGTTTTTCCTTCCACACTGCTCTCTTTTCTTTGGCATTCCAGCAAAACAAAAGTAAGAATTATTTAGTATCCAGCAGTGGAGATTTCATATACCTGTACTTACGGTTAGGAATGCCTGTTCTGACTGTTACTTTTCATTGGAAGAAAAGGGTGCATCTTTCTCCATAAATATGACAGGAATAATCAGATCACAGTGTTAAAAATATAGTCTTTTAAAATAAGAAGCACATTTGAACTTACCTCCCAAGTGGCACACAGATTTGACTTGTGATATAACCATTTGCCATTCTCATCTCTAGGGTATACTTCATCTCCTGGCTGAAAAAAAAAAAAAAAAAGAATAAATGTAATTCATTTTATTTATACCTGGGAATTAAAATAATAGAATTTAGACTTCCCAGTTTTCATAATTGTGAGCAATAAATGTCTATTGTTTCTAAATCACCCAGTCTAAGGTATTTTGTCGTAGCGGCCCAGCTGGATTAAGACACCTGCCCACGCCCCCTGGGATGCCAGTACCTGTCTTGCGTGCACTGTCCTTTCACTCTGTACAGCTGACACCTGCATCTGTTAGAGGACAGACCTCAGGCTACTGGGACTTGTGTATCTACTCAATTAGATGTGCCCAGGAATTTACACCCTGCTCCCCTCGCTGGGGCAGCCTTTGAGCTAAAGTTGCAAGGATCAATATTTGTTTCTTTGCCCCGTGACTGTGTAATTCTGAGATGTGAACAACTTTGTGTCCAGAGCTTTCTGTGACATTTAGCCTAAGTTGCTCTCTGTAGGACTCTGCTTTCTACCTCATATCTGCTTAACCTCTTATTTTTCAGCCACATTTCCCCACTCGCTTTTCAGTTTTCCCTGGTTGTACTTCAAAATAAATCACTCTTGTGTGCATTCTCTTCATCTCAGCCTTCTGGGGAACTCAGCCTAAGGTGCTATATGCAATAGCGGAGAGCTGATGGTGCCTGGGACTGGGGCAACTGCAGTAGAGAGGAAAAGAAGGGAACAGATTAGCACATGAACAAGTAGTAGAGCCAGCATGCCTTAATGTTGACTTGGAAATGAGGTAGGGTGGTGGAAATGAGGGATAGGGAGGAATCAAAGATGATTCCCAGACGCCTTGGGTGGGTGGTGGTAACCATTTCCTGAGGTTGGGGCTAGCAATCTGGAATATCATTTTGGATATTTTGACTTTGAAATGGTCATTAAACATTCAAGTGGATATTGAGGCAGGCAGTTGAACAGAGAAGTCAGGAGCTCAGAGAGAGGTCATGGCTACAGAAAAAATTTGGGAGTCATTAGCATGTAAAATGGTATCAAATCCACAAGGTTGGATTAAGTCACCTATAGAGAGAGTATAGCTAGTAAGACAAGAATATTGAGGGTTGAGGACTGGGCATAACAACATTTGGAAGCTGGCAGAGAAGAAGCTGCCAAAGACCATGGGAAGGTCATGAGATGTCATGAGCACTATGAGAAGAAAATGTTTACAGAAGGAGGTGGTAGTCAACTGTATTGAAAGAGATCAAATAATAGGAGGACAAAATGTCTATTGGTTTTGGCAGGATGAAAGTCTTTGTTGACTTTGGTAATAGGGATTTTCTTATTGGGAATCGCTGTGGTTTAAATGTGTCCCCCCGAATTCATGTGTTGGAAATTTAATCCCCAGTGCAACTGTGTTGGGAGGTGGGACCTAATGGGAGTTGTTCAGTCATGGATTAATGACATTGTAAAAAGGGCTCAGATGAGGAGGGGTGCCCTCTTGTGCTCTTTGCCCTGCCTCATTCCAGCATGTGATGACATAGCAAGAAGGCCCTAGTGAGGTGCTGGTCTTGGACTCTCCAGCCTCTAGAACTCTGAGCCAATACATTTCTGTTTATTATCTACTACCCAGTGTCAGGTATTCTTTTTTTTTTTCTTTTAAAGGAAATGTTTCTGAATCACAGCATTCTTTTTCTGTTGTTGTTTTTTGCTTGTTTGTTTTTGAGACAAGGTCTTACTCTGCTGCCCAGGCTGGAGTGCGGTGGCATGATTATGGCTCACTGCAGCCTCAATGTCCCCAGGCTCAGGTGATCTTCCCATCTCAACCTCCTGAGCAGCTGGGACTACAGGTGTGCACCACCAAGCCTAGCTAATTCTTTTGTATATTTTTTTGTAGAGTGGGGGTTTCATCATGTTGTCCAGGCTGGTCTCGAACTCCTAGGCTCAAGTGATCCACCTGCCTCAGCCTCCCAAAGTGCTGGGAATACAGGTGTGAGCCACTGCACCTGGCCTCAGGCATGCTTTTATAGCAGCACAAAACAGACTGAGAAGGGAATCAAGCAATTGGACAAAATCCATTACGTTCTTAAATTTCTCCCTAATTTGACCAGGCGCAGTGGCTCACACCTGTAATCCCAGCACTTTGGGAGGACGAGATGGGCCAATCAACTGAGGTCAGGAGTTCAAGACCAGCCTGGCCAACACAGCAAAACCCTGTCTCTACTAAAAATACAAAAATTAGCTGGGCTTGGTGGCGGGTGCCTGTAATCCCAGCTACTCAGCAGGCTGAGGCAAGAGAATCGCTTGAACCCAGGAGGCAGAGGTGGCAATAAGCTGAGATCATGCCACTGCACTCCAGTCTGGGCAACAAGAGCAAGACTCCATCTCAAAAAAAAAAATTTTTTTTCTTTAATTTTTTCGTCTAGCACATCACCTTTGTGAAACTCAACTTTCCTTTAGTGAAAACATTTTCCCCATTGTCTGCTTTAGGGAAAGACAATGTCTTCTCAACTTCCCCCCGTCTCCCTGGGAGCAGGGAACAGTCCCTTTTCTCCTTGATGCCACATTATTACTCATGTTAATTATCCATTCTGTCTCTGATTTCTAATCACTTTGACTTTCTCAACACTTACAACCCCCATTTCTGCTCCATATTTCTTGCCTTGTGTTTCCTAATTTTACTTACCTTCTGAATGGCCTTATGCCTCCATCATGAATTCTGTTACATGATTTTTACTTTCCCAGATTCTAATCAAGTGGTTATCAAACCTGAACCCACGTTAGATATCTTTAGGTGTTTCCCTTGACCTTCCATTGTGCCTATTTTACTCATCATTTCATCCTGATAAGCCTCTTTGTCTGTTTCCTTCATTCCTCTTCCTCACAGTCAGGTATTATTAGAAGAATAACCCAACCCTCTAAAAATCTATGCTATTGACTCTCATTCTTGTTCATTTATCTTTTAAACGTGTCATAATTTTAAACATTTTGTTGGCTAAAATTGTCTGCCTGACACTTAAAAAATAATAAAGTGCTAAAAATATTTTAGCAGGAAAGGTTTTCTGTTTTAAAAAACTTAAGATTCAAAAAAGCATGTGAAGTCGGATATGGTGGCTCATGCCTGTAATCCCAGCACTTTAGGAGGCTGAGGTGGGAGGATGGCTTGAGGCCAGGAGTTCCAGACCAGCACGGTCACCATAGCGAGACCCTGTCTCTAAAAAAGAAAAATTGAAAAATTAGGTGAGTGTGGTGACATACACCTGTCATCTGAGCTACTTGGGAGGCTGAGGCAGGAGGATTGCTTGAGCCTACAAGCTCAAGGCTACAGTGAGCAACACACCACTGCAGTCCAGCCTGGGTGACAGAGCAAGACCTTCTCTCTCTCTCTCTCTCTTTTTCTTTCTTTCTTCCTTCCTTCCCTCCCTCCCTCCCTCCCTCCCTCCCTCCCTCCCTCCCTTCCTTCCTTTCAAAACAGGGTCTTGCTGTCACCCAGGCTGGAGTGTAGTGGCGCGATCTCGGCTCACTGCACCCTCCACCTCCCCAGCTCAAGCGATCCTCCCACCTTAGTCTCCCAAGTAGCTGAGACCACAGGCACGTGCCACCAAGCTTGGCTGATTTTTGTATTTTTTGTAGAGATGGGGTTTTGCCATGTTGCCCAGGCTTGTCTCAAACTCCTGGACTCAAGTGATCTGCCAGCCTCAGCCTCCCAAAGTACTGGGACTACAGGTGTGAGCCGCCATGCTCAGCTGGCCCTACCTTAAGCAAACAAGCAAATAAACACCAAAAAACATGTCCTATTTTAGCTTCAAATATCAATTTCCCAATTATAGGTTCAGTTGGGAGGTAATGTCACTATATTGTGTCATTTCTCACTGTTAAAATTTTACCTCTGTGCCCTTGAACCCATCAAAAGTAAGAATAGAAATTATCTATTGTCTCCAAAAAGATTTAAATGTCATTAGTTAGTCACAGAGAAGTAAATTTTATTTTCTCACTTTTAGATAGAGTCATGTGCTGCATAATGACATTTTGGTCAATGACGGACTGCATGTATGTTGGTGGCCCATAAGATTATAATAGAATTTAAAACTCCTATCACCTAGTGACATCATGTTTGTGGTGTTGCTGGAGTAAACAAACCAACTGTGCTGCCAGGTATATAAAAGTAGAGCACACATAATCATGTACAGTATATCATACTTGATAATGATAATAAACAATTGCTGTTTTTACTATGGATACAACTTATATATTTGTTTTACTATACTTTATGATAATTTTAGCATGTTCTCCTTCTCCTTTTAAAAAATGTTAACTGTAAAAAAGCCCCAGGCAGGTCTTTCAGGAGGGATTCCAGAAGAAGACACTGTTGTCAGAGGAGGTGGCAGCTCCATGTGTGTTACTGCTCTGGAAGAACCTCCAGTGGGACAAGATGTGGAGGTGAAAGACAGTGATAATGATGATGCTGATCCTGTGTAGGCCTAGACTAATGTGTGTGCTTGTGTCTTAGTTTTTAACAAAAAAGTTAAAAAAAATTTTTAATAGACAAAAGCTTATACAATAAGAATACAAAGAAAGAATATTTTTATACAGCTGTACAACATGTTTGTGTTTTATTCATGTTATTAAAAAAGTAATTAATCGCAGCACTTTGGGAGGCCGAGGTGGGCAGATCACGAGGTCAGGAGATCGAGACCATCCTGGCCAACATGGTGAAACCCCGTCTCTACTAAAAATACAAAAATTAGCCTGGCGTGATGGCACTTGCTTGTAGTCCCAGCTACTCGGGGGGCTGAGGCAGGAGAATCACTTGAACCCGGGAGGCGGAGCTTGCAGTGAGCTGAGATCATGCCACTGCACTCCAGCCTGGCAACAGAGCGAGACTCCGTCTCAAAAAAAAAAAAGTAATCAGTATTAGTGTTATTATTAAGTATTATTACAAAGAATCAAAAAGTTAAAAAAATTAGAACATTTATAAGGTAAAAACGGTTACAATAAGCTAATGTTAATTTATTGTTGAAGAAAAACTATTATTTGATTGTGTACCCTAAGTGTGCAGTGTTTATAAAGTCTCCAGTCATGTACAGTAATGACCTAGGCCTTCACATTTACTCACTACTCACTCACCCAATTTTTATGCTGCAAGCTCCACTCATGGTAAGTGCCAGGTATAGGTGTATCTTATCTTTGATGCCATATTTTTACTGTACCTTTTCTATGTTATGTTTAAATACACAAATATTTGCCATTGTGTTAACATTGTCTACAGTATTCAGAATCAGAATAGTAACATGCCGTGCAGGTTTGTAACCTAGGAGCAATCAGCTGGGCTATCTAGCCTAAGTCTGCCATAGGCTATACCATCTAGGCACAACGTGTTTGCGCTTTATTCATGTTATTACAAAAGTAATGCCATCTACCATGGTAAGTAAAACCTTACCACCTAGGTTTGTATAAGTACACGCTATATGATGTTTGCAGAACAGCAAAGTCGCCTCGTGACACATTTCTCAGAATGTATCCCATCGCTAAGCAACACATACATGTACACTGGGTCTTTCCAAATTTTTAAGACTTAGGTTAGAAATCTGACATTTGAACAAGAATCAACATGAACAAAGTGAGGATGAGGGCTGAGATTATGACTGTGTGAGTGGGAAGAAGGGTGTGCATCTCAATGCTGGGCTACAGTCAGGGGACTGCATGTTGGTTTGATGCAGAGAGTTTAAACTATAGTTGTAAAAACATGGTATAATAGAAATTGCATTGAATTAAAAAATCAAGAAACTTGGAAACCAAGCCTGAGTCTGCTAACATAATCTTCTTGGGTATTTGTTAGGCTAGGTTAGTACTCTCTGATCTATGGTAACAAAACACCACAATATTCAGTGGTGCTAAGTAATAAGCTAGCTTCATGCACATAGCTATTGGCTGATGGTTGCCAGGGTGCAGAGACCTGACTTAGGCATCTGAACTCACCTTAAAGGCCATGGGTACTTCAATGATGTAAAGATCCACGTAGTCTAGCTGGAGGACCCTGAGTGTCCTCTCCAGGGTTGGGCGGACCATCTCTGGGACGTGATTTGTAGCCCATAGCTGAAAGAATCAAAGAGGGATCATTAACTAATGTTCACACGATTTTTACAATAATGCAGCCCCTTTTTCTTTGTAAAGCACTCGTACACATTTTTTTTTTTTTTTTTGAGAGAGGGGTCTCACTATGTTGCCCAGGCTGATCTTTAACTCCTGGGGTCAAGCCATCTGCCCACTTCAGCCTCCCAAAGTGCCAGGATTATAGGTATCAACCACCATGCCTGGCCCCTTGTACACATTTTATTCACACATTTCATTTCACAAAAATACGTTTATGATGCAGTGTCATCTGAGTATAGGATGAGCTGATAAAACTCTTGACACTCAGAGCCTAGCTTGAGAGCTTGTTTGGAGGTTCTAGCAGGGGAGTGCAGCTACTCACATACCCTTGACCTAGAAACCCTCCTCCTTCATCAGGGAAAGCCATCCTCTTCCGCTGAGAGTGCAGCTTCAAGAGGTACAATTGCCCAGACAGCCAGACCAGCTGAATTAGCCCTGGTGACCAATGGGGTGACAGATGTTGCAGCCAGATCGCCCTCACATCTCCAGACATAATTTTATGCAAATCTACTGCAAGAGACTTACAGATCCTCCTGACCACAGAGTACCTAATTTGATGGCAGTCTTTCCCATTTCCGGGCGAATTTCCTAACTGACCCTTAGTGCTTGCATTTTTCCTCATGGTATAACTAGGGTTATGCAATGTTCTAGATGTCCTGACCTAGCCTGATACTTTATTGTCATGCCACTCTGATAAAATGAGCAAGGTTATGTGTGTGGCTTCACCAGGTCCTTCACATTGTGACAAGTGGTGTGAAAGCCTGGTGAAATTTTAAATTAGGGCACAGATTTACATTTGCTTTCACTGATCTTTTGTTCTTGTTGGGTCCTAGTTAGACCCCAGAGCAATTAAGTTACTCTTTCACTAAGGCATTACATAATGAAGGATCAAGGTTTGGTTGATCCTACCAGAGCATGTGTACCCTTAGGTGTCTGAGACATATGGTGCCAAGGTTGCTCATACCCACAGGACAAATTAGTACATCTTTTGGATTATCAGTTTTGCTCACAGATTTTTTGGGGGCATATAAGTTTAGAATCATACTTTTCTTTTTTGTTTCTTTTGTTTTTTTGAGACGGCGTCTTGCTGTGTCACTGAGGCTGGAGCGCAGTGGTTTGATCTTGGCTCACTGCAACCTCTGCCTCCCGGGTTCAAGCGATTCTCCTGCCTCAGCCTCCCAAGTAGCTGGGATTACAGGCACCTGCCACCACGCCTGGCTAATTTTTGTATTTTTAGTAGACGGGGTTTCCCCATGTTGGCCAGTCTGGTCTCAAACTTCTGACCTCAAGTGATGCTTCCTCCTCTGCCTTCCAAAGTGCTGGGATTATAGGCATGAGCCACAGCACCCAGCCTGAATCATACTTTTTTTGGTCACCAGAAAGGGCAAGCAAAATTGGTAAAATCTGATTTTTTTCCTCTGTTGGACAATGATTTTTTTTTCTTGCCTTAAAAACACAGAGAAAATGTAACATGAAGAGAGTAGTGAAAAATGTGTCACGTGTGTTTTGATTGCTACTCTGGGTCCCTTTGGTGTTACTATTGCAATCCCTTCTAAGTGGAAATTCTGTTTGATATTTTAATTTACTTTTTTTTTTCATTCCTGGGTGTAGGCTGATGATATTTTAATTTACTTTTATTCAACAAACATACGTAGTATTAGCTTTGTACCAGGTTCGGTGTGACTGCTTTGTAAATGTGAACTCATAACAACTTTATGAAATAGTTGACATTATTATCCCCATTTTACAGAGAAAAAAAAACTCAGGTCCAGAAATGCTATGCAACTCAGGCAATAGTGACAGATCTGGGCCTCTGACCTGGGCAATCTTGTACCAGTTTGGGTACTTAATCACCCCCACATTGCCTCTCAGGTGCTGCTGAACTGCAGCGAAGACAATCCTGATGAGGCAATTACATGAACTCAGCTGCACATGCTGTTTCTGTTTGCTTAAGTAAACACCAATATTTCACCCAAGTATGCTTTATTACATACAGCCCATATTGACATTGTATACGTATGAATATTGCTTTCCATTCACAACTGTACTTTTTGGACAATTTAAAGGATTAAAGTTAAAGGACAATTTAAAGCATGTTTTGACCACCTTTTCCTTGTATGCTAACTTTAGCCCCTATCATGGTAAGGAATGACTCTTACAATATGAGTCATTAAGCGAAAGGCTTGCATAATGTGCCTGCCCAGGAAGCCCACATAGCTGGCTTTTGGATTGGTGACCTTATGAGCTTGCTTTTGTTTTTGTTTTAAATTTACATTTGTTTGCTTTTATTAAACAAAATCTAGGCCGGGTGCGGTGGTTCACGCCTGTAATCCCAGCACTTTGGGAGGCCGAGGCGGGCAGATCATGAGGTCAGGAGATCGAGACCCTCCTGGTGAACACGGTGAAACCCTGTCTCTACTAAAAATACAAAAAGATTAGCCGGGCGTGGTGGCGGGTGCCTGTAGTCCCAGCTACTTGGGAGGCTGAGGCAGGAGAATGGTGTGAACCCGGGAGGCGGAGCTTGCAGTGAGCCGAGATGGCGCCACTGCACTCCAGCCTGGGCGACAGAGCGAGACTCTGTCTCAAAAAAAAAAAAAAAAAAAAATCTAAATGCCATTTCTGAGTTAATTACATTTGCTCAAATTGTTTTTTTTTTTTTTTTTTTTTTTTTTTTTTTGAGATAGGGTCTCGCTCTGTCACTCAGGTTGGAGTGCAGTGATATGAACATGACTCATTGCAGCCTTGACCTCCCTGGCTCAAGCCATCCTCCTGCCTCAACCTCCCAAAAAGCTGGGACTACAGGTGCAGGCTACCATGCCTGGCTAATTTTTGTATTTTTTTTTGTTGAGACAGAGTTTTGCCATGTTACCCAGGTTGGTCTTGAACTCCTGAGCTCAAGCAAAACACCTGCCTCAGCCTCCCAAAGTGAGGATTAGAGGTGTGAGACACTGCATCCAGCCAAATACTTTTTTAAAACCCTCTTTCTCTCCCCCAAATGCTACTCTGCTTACTTCTCCCAAATTAATAAATAATTCATTAATAGGATACAAGAATGTTGAAAATCCTATTTTGCATGATTTTGGTTCATTTTTAACACTTATCTTTTAAACAAAGAAACAACCCAAACTGTTATTAAGTACTGTGTACTCATGAATGCAATTACACACACACACACACACACACACACACAGAAGATGAATAATAAAATGAACACCTGAAACCTTCTCACTGTCCCCAGTGGAGGCTGAAGGCAAGATCTCACCTTTCCACAGTAGAAAATATCTTCCCTCCGCACCTTTCCTTCTGCTATCTTCTCCCTGATGGCCTCCCCAACTTCGTGTTCATTTTGGTAGATGTAGGCGCCATCAATATGTCGGTACCCTGTGTCAATAGCAACCTTCACCGATGTTGCACAGGCTCCCTTAGGGGTCTGAAGTGACAAAGAGGTTGGGTTTGGGGAAAAGAGAAATGGTCTTTCCTTTAATCACCATTAATCAGGACATTTTGCATGTACGTTCCTTTACAGCTAGAATGATACATTCCCAATTCCTTGCTGTTGTGATTGGAAGATGGTGTTCAGCAGCAGGAGAAACTGACCTCCCAGGGGCCTCCCCTCCCTCAGTGGGAGACACCATCTGTCCCAGGTCTGCCCTCAGCTTTGTGGCATCAAAAATATGATTTGGGCCGGGTGCGGTGGCTCACACCTTTAATCCCAGCACTTTGGGAGGCTGAGGCGGGAGGATCACGAGATCAGGAGATTGAGACCATCCTGGCTAACATGGTGAAACCCCATCTCTACTAAAAATACAAAAAATTAGCCGGGCGTGGTGGCTGGTGCCTGTAGTCCCAGCTACTCGGGAGGCTGAGGCAGGAGAACTACATGAGCCTGAGAGGTGGAGCTTGCAGTGAGCCAAGATTGTGCCACTGCACTCCAGCCTGGGCGACAGAGCAAGACTCCATCTCAAGCAAACAAACAAACAAAATGTGATTTGATCAATATTTCCTGTGACAGGAGAATTCATGGAAGGCTTTTTTATCAGAGGGCACGAGCTGATTGAAGAAGGCTAAATTATAAATCAAAGGTTGGGTAAACAAATTGAGATGTATCCACAGAATGGAATACTCCTCAGTAATAAAAAGGAATGAAGTAGGCCTGGTGTGGTGGTTCACACCTGTAATCCCAGGACTTTGGGAGGCTGAGACAGAAGGATTGCTTGAGGCCAGGAGTTTGAGACCAGCCTGGGCAACACAGGGAGACTCCATCTATACAGAAATTAAAGTAATTAGCTGGGTGTGGTGGCATGCGCCTTTGGTCCCAGTTACTCGGGAGGGTAAGGTAGGGGGATTGCTTGAGCCTGAGAGTTCAAGGCTGCAGTGAGCCATGATCATGCCACTGTACTCCAGCCTGGGCAACAGAGACCCTGTCTCAAAAAAAAAAAAAAAAAAAAAGAAATGTAGCATTGATGACAACACATAGCATGGATGAATCTCAAAATAATTATACTGAGTGAAAGAAGCCAGCCCAAAAAGAATAAATACTTTAGTTTTTCTCTTCTAGCATTTTATATAAATGGAATCACAGTCTGTGGTGACAGACATAGATCAGTGATTGCCTGGGGTCGGGAGTCGGGGAAGTGTGGGTGGGAGGAGGGATCACAAAGTGGCATGAGGAAGCTTATAGAGTTGATAGCTATGTTCATTATTTTGATTGTGGTGATGGCCTCGCAGATGAATATATGTCAGACTCATCAAATTGTATACTTTAAATATGGACAGTTTATTATATGTCAGTTATGTCTCAAAACTGAGGAAAAATATTGTTGAGGAATATTTTATGTTTTAGGATATATTTTAATAAAATTTGGTAGCTACATCTTTGTTCATTTTATTAACTCACATTAAACTTAAGAATGAGCATATCCTGTCCCCTGAACACTGGTTTTTCATTTGCTATGGTTTGATTATTTGTGTCCCCTCCAAAACTCATGTTGAAACTGAATCTCCAGTGTAACAAACGGCATTGAGAGGTGGGGCCTGATGGGAGGAGTTTGGGATTAATACCACCATAAAAAGGGCTTGTGGGAGTGGGTTCTCCCTCTTCTGCCATGTGAGTAATGGTGTCTCTCCCCTCCAGAGAATGCAGCATTCAAGGTGCACCCTTGGAGGCAGAGAGACTGGGCCCTAACCTGCTGGCATCTTGATCTTGGACTTTCCAGCCTCCAGAACTGTAAAACTTCTGTTCTTTATCAGTTACCCAGTCTCAAGCATTCTGTTACAGCAACACAAAATAGAGTAAGACACCATGCTTCAGATTCCACAGAAATCCCTATGCCTCGGTTTTGATGGCATTTAAATACAAATGTGTTTCATTTTTGTTACATTTTTTAATGAGAAACAGCAATGAGATTTCCCTGAAGACAAACATCTAGTCTCATCAAATATAATTTTCAAAGCATCTTTTAGAGAGTGTGTTGTGTGAGAGGGTTAGTTCTATTTTCTGATTTGCGCTGACTTGGTATTGAAGGTTGATTGTTCTGATCTTGCTCAACAAATGTTGGTCAACTACTTGTGCTTTCTTTAGTGTTCTAACCAAATGCTGGACAAATCACATCAGACATGTGAACTCTGGTCCACAGCTATTGATTTGTTGTAGGCTGAGTGAGAGAATAAATCTGAAATGTATTTCTAGTGACTTTATAGTCCTGGGCAGGAAACAGAAAGCTTTGGGAGCATATATTGTATTTTCCCCGCCCCCCGCTTCAGTTGAAAGTCGTCACTATAGAGAAGATAAGAGGATACGAAAAATGAACAAACTAGCTACATAGATGATATTATAAGATTCATAGTCACAAATATCAAATAGCTGGGAAAAGGAGACACACATTCCAGGAATATTAGAAATATTTGTTTGGTTAATTAACAACATGATTAATAGGACTTGGAGAGTAATTGAGTCAAAAGGCCAGAAAAAGCCTGTAAAATGAGATGTTATGAATGACAAGTGTGACAACCAAAGTACAGTGGGAAGGGGAGGTGAGGCATGGTGTCCAGAAATTTACAGGGAAGAAAATAAACATCTACTTTCATTCTCAAGTATCTACATGATTATTATTATTATTATTATTATTATTATTATTAGAGACAGGATCTCTGTCACCCAGGCTGGAGTACAGTGGCACAATTATGGCTCACTGCAGCCTCGGCCTCCTGGGCTCAAGTGATTCTTCTACCTCAGCCTCCCGAGTAAGTGGGACTACAGGCGTGTGCCACCATGCCTGGCTAACATTTTTGTAGAGATGGGGTTTTGCCATGTTGCCCATGCTGGTCTCAAACTCTTGGGCTCAAGCGATCCTCCTGCCTTGGCCTCCCTCTACATATTATTAATATATGAAGCTTAATACTGGATGGTAAATAGAATCTCAGAAACATCACTGAGATTTTGTGGGCTGGAACTGATCATTTAAATGAAGAGCTAAAGTACACAATGAAGGGTGTCCCAGACAAATACATATTAAAGTAGGCGCTTGTATTTTCAAAGATTAACCCAAAAAATGAAGTACAAAGGAGAGCATTTAGGATAAAGAAAGTATGGCCAGGGATTGTGGCTCACGCCTGTAATCCCAGCACTTTGAGAGGTCAAGGCGGGCAGATCACCTGAGGTCATGAGTTCAAGACCAGCCTGGCGAACATGGTGAAACCCCGCTTCTACTAAAAAATACAAAAATTAGCCAGGTGTGGTAGTGGGCGCCTGTAATCCCAGCTACTTGGGAGGCTGAGGCAGGAGAATATCTTGAACCTGGGAGACATAGGTTGCAGTGAGCCAAGATCATGCCACTGCACTCCACCCTGGGTGACAGAGCGAGACTCTGTCTCAAAAAAGAAAGAAGGAAGGTAGGAAGGAAGGAAGGAAGGAAGGAAGGAAGGAAGGAAGGAAGGAAGGAAGGAAGGAAAGAGAGAGGTAAAGGCAAGGGCTAAGGCAGGAGTGTAGTCCACCATGGTGCTGCATATTTGGATGATGACTCATTTAACAAGGATTATGGCACAGAAACAAGTTATAGTAGTGAAAATCTTCAATTATTCAGCTATTACCGGGGAGTCTCTTCTAAAAGCTGGATATTTACTTACTGGATATTTACTATTTACTTATTTATTTATATGTTTATATTTATATACTTGCTGAAAAATATTGTCCCTCAGAAGGCAGAAGCAGCAGTGAGATGTATTACTATTTTGTACTTAATTCTAATCAATATGGAGGAACTAGTTGGGACTGTGGACATGAGGACCACACTTTCTAATTCTTTGTTGTTGTTGTTGTTAGACGGAGTCTCGCTCTGTCACCAGGCTGCAGTGCAGTGGTGTGATCTCGACTCACTGCAACCTCCACCTCCTGGGTTCAAGCAATTCTCCTGCCTCAACCTCCTGAGTAGTTGGGACTCCAGGCACACGCCACCATGCCCAGCTAATTTTTGTACTTTTAGTAGAGACGGGGTTTCACCATGTTGACCAGGATGGTCTCAATCTCTTGACCTTGTGATCTGCCAGCCTCGGCCTTCCAAAGTGCTGGAATTACAGGCATGAGTCACTGCACCTGGCCCACACTTTGTAATTCTTAAATGTGGCACAAAGAAATCCTACATGAATTCTGACACATTTTTTAGGAAAACCAGTTTTGAAAAAAAATTAGAAAGATCAAATAGGATACCACATAAATGATATGATAGGAGAATCTAAGATATAAAAATTTGATTCCACAATGAAGGACAATCTCACTGAACAGTAAAACAAAAAAATCCGGTTTCCTAAAATGACTGAGAGCATCTCCTTCTACTTAAGAAAATTAAAAATGCTAGATTAGGCCGGCGTGGTGGCACACGCCTGTAATCCCAGCACTTCGGGAGGCTGAGGTGGGAGGATCGCTCGGGCCCAGGAGTTTGAGAACAGCCTGGGCAACATGGCGAAACCCCATCTCTATAAAAACTACAGAAATTAGCCGGGTCTGGTGACTCGCTTGAGCCTGGGAGGCAGAATTTGCAGGGAGCCGTAATCATGCGAATGCGCTTCAGCCTGGGTGACAGAGCAAGACCCTATCTCAAAAAAAGAAAAAAAAAAAAAAAAAAAAAACTAGATTAAAACTTTTAAAAAGTGCTGAAAAGACAGTAGGCATTTATTAATTCAAACTAAATTTTATGGGAAAGTCTGAATGCAGAAATGAGAGGTGCAGGAGATGAAAAAGTTAACTAAAAAAACTCCCTGAAAGGCTATGGCCATCTCCAGTCCCTGGGAGATTTCATAACCTATGTAACCAGAGTCTGCTGACCAGTTTAATGTGGTCACTGGGTAGCAGTGCCTCCAGGGCACCTGGAGCAAACACACACAAATGCTGTCTGAAAGAAAATACTTGTTTTTCACCCTTGATGCACGTTCACA